GGGGGGGTTGCTGGGAGGTGACTGCTCTGGGAGCCTGGAAGAAATCTGAGACTCCCCAGGGGTGCCCATAGCCTCACCTGGAGCCGGGGGTGGGCATAGAACTCATTGAGGAAATCCATGAGGAGGTCAATCTTGAGGGAGCTCACACACAGGACCACGTGCTTTTCTGTCTGTGCTCGGTGGCGGCTGTAGTTACCCCCTGACTTCTGTCTCTCCATCCAGAGGTAGACAAGCTCTTCAAACTGCGGAGAGGGAGCAATGGGCACAGGCATCCAATGGGGGACAAAGGGTGGGGGCAGGCTGTGGAGTAGCAGTGGAATGGGGGGGGCTGTCCAGGGTGGAAATGCCAGCTGATGAGGAGAGAGGAAGAGCCGGCCTGCTTGGCTGGCAGGATGGGGGAGGGGTGGGGACAGTAACCTTAGCAGAGCAGGGTCTGGAGATGGCATGTGTAAAGTGGTGTCAGAAACTGTGGTGTGTGACCCAGGTCATGGGAAGTCCAGCTCGTGGCCTCAGAAGCTACCTGACCAGTAGTGGGTGCCAGAGCCTGTACTCTGGACATCTGGACAGACATGAGAGTCCTGACCCCACCTATCAGCTTTCCTGACAGTATTAGGAAATCCTCAGCATTGAAGTTAGGGATTTCTCTCTAACAACAGTGACCAGATCAGGCATCAGGTTCCTGATGTGGAAGCCATGCATTCAGTCCTTGCCAGTGGGGTCCTCTCAGACTGGGTGGGAAGAGTTCTGAGGACTGCCAGGTTCACATCTGCCTGGGTCATGTGAGCTGCTCAGCACTGGCTCTGCCCAAGGCCTCACAGAGCATGTGGCTCTGAGGTCAGATGTCCACTGCCTGTTCCATCTTGAGCATCAGGACCACACGTGGCTTTAGCCCATTTCTGAGTGGACTGTGGCTGTAGGCCCTGACTGCTGTGTCCACTCTCACGGTCTTCATCCCACTTCCATGGGTCCTCACCAGGAGACCTGTGGCCGGCTTCTTCAAGACCCTGGGGTTGGGGAACACAGGGACCCCTGCAGGTGGTCCATGGTAGGGCACTGCTGCTGGAAGACCCAGGCTTGCTTCCAACCTCTCTCAGGCCTGTTTCCTCACTTGGAAATTATAAGAATAGTGCCTGTCTTCAGCAATTAACTATGCAGCTCACACATGATTGAGCCGGTATGATAATGAGTATTCAGAGACCGGTAATGCCTGGGGGGCACTCACCAACCTAAGACAGAGCACCTGTGTGGCCTGGGCAGGTGTCTCCATGACGGGTAAGGTGACCTACTGATGTCTCAAGCAACCCAACTCAGAGGCTCATTTTTTAATAAAAGGGGGACCTGTAGGGTCCTGGCCCCCGTTTTGGGTAACTGTCACCTTGCTTGTGGACCTTGACCTTGATATCCTCCCTATGCTAATTCCCTGCCAGGTTCCATCCTCCTGAATGCTTAAGGGAAGTTCCTTGTCTGTGTATCCCGAATAATGGGGCGTTAACAGCTTAGATGCAAGATTGTAAAACATCAGTAGTGAACTTCTGCCCTCTGGGGTCCTCCCATTGTGCTGTAAGCCTGTATTTAAGACCTCCTACCCCCTTCAAGAAATGACATTCGACATTTAAAATTAAATATATGTATATATATACATATATATAATTGAATGAATACTGCGAATGTAATCTATGAATACCACAAATGTGATTAATATCATGAGTGTAATTAATGAATATCATGATTGTAATTTAAAAAATAAATTAAAAAAATAAAAATTAAAAAAGAAAGAATAGTGCCTGTCTTGCACGCTATGATGAGGGGGTAAGAGAGCTAATGAGGGGTTAACAGTGATTCCTAAAGTGTATGACTGCTCAGAGTCTCAAGATGGGAGCTGATTTGGAAGGCGGGTATGGCTGTAATTTGTTGACCTGAGGTTATCTTGGGTTATGGCAACTCCTAAATCCAATACCCTTGTAGGTGGAACAAGGGCCACAAGGTCATATGGAGATGGGCGTAAGGTGGAGGATATGCTCAGGAGGCCACCACAACCATGGGAACTACCAGACAATGGACCCCAGGTACTTCCGGTGCTCCCCAAGTACCAGCCCCACCGCAGCTTCGTTCTGACCCGGCCTCCAGAACACCTGTTATCTAAATGTTTGGACATTGAGTCTTAAACACTCAACCCTAGGCCCCCACGGAGGAGACTGAGCCTCAGGGTCTCAGAGCCTCCAAGAAGGCAAAGAAGAGTTCCAGTCCTGTTCCATTTCATAGTGACTCTGGGGTTACTGGGCAGGGGCAGGGGCTCATCCTCACTTGGCAAAGGGACTGGGTTATCCAGAGAGAGTCCAGATAGAAAATGGAGGCTGAGAGCCACATGGCTGGATTGGGGTTGCCTGTCCATCTTTGGCACTGTCTTCAACTTCTGCTGGGTCAGGGTATCATGGATGAATCACTGAAGAGCTGGTGGGCTACAAGATGAGAAGGCAGGACGGGATTCTGACGCTTTGCAGAGGGGATGGGGATGGGGCAGCGTAGTGAGAACAGGACCTATAGTGGATGAAGGGGGCCCCCAAAAGATTCGTGCTCCTGGAACCTAGGAATGTGACTTCATTTGGAAAAGTAAAAGGGGGCTTTTGTAGAGATCAGGGTGTAGCCTTTAGGTGAGGAACCTGGCGTGATCTTGATCAGGATGACCACCAGGAGCTGTGACAGTTAAATCTTGGGTATCGTACCATCAAAGCCTACACTGGAGAAGTTGACATGGGTGCCAAGTCCAGCAAGAAGAAAGGAGACGGGGGGGGGGGGACGAGCCACAGAGGAAAGGCCATGTGCAGGGCAGACAGTTTGGAATGATTCATCTATAAGCCAAGAGACACCGAGGGCCGGCAGCTGAGGCAGGGCTAACTCCATGCCTTTAGAGTCCTCTGAGAACCATGTCACTGACACCAGATTTTGGACCTATGACCTTCGTAACTGTGGAGGACAGGTGTTCCTAAGTCCACAGTGTGTGGCCACCTTTCAGCAGTTTCCGGAGACACCTGCACACTCCAGCCCAGGGACTCTGAGCATAGAGGGGCCAAAGCAGAGCCATCTTGGGTGTGAAGACCCATGAAGGGAAGCACAGTGCAGGCTCAGACACAAGGTTAGCTAACAGAACCTGACAAAATTCAACAGACACCAGCATGACACTATGAAACGTCACAAGCCGTGTTTCAGGAATTCAAGGCTGGTTAATACTAGACAACTGTATACATTTTAAATGTGTCAAAAAAAGCTGTATATATAAAACTTATGACCCTAACAATTTAAGGAGAAAACACTCAATTGGACTGATCAAGCATTTAATTAAAAAAATTCTATGGGCCGGGTGGTGGTGGTGCACACCTTTAATCCCAGCACTAGGGAGGCAGAGGTAGGTAGATCTCAGTGAGTTTGAGGCCAGCCTGGTCTACAAAGCGAGTTCTAGGACAGCCAGGACTTATACAGAGAAACCCTGTCTCAAAAAACAAAAAACAAACAAACAAACAAAATCTATAGACCGGATAGATGGCTTAGTGGTTAAGAGCATTGGCTGCTCTTCCAAGGATCTGGGTTCAATTCCCAGCACCCACATGGCAGCTCACAAATGTCTGTAATTCCAGTTCCAGGGGGATCTGACACTCTCACACAGGCATATATTTGGGTAAAATACCAGTGCACATGGAATAAATAAGTAAATAAATCATAAAAATTGGTCTCCACAAACTGGGATGAAAAGGAAGGTCTATGCAGGTTGCCAGAGGGCCATCAGAATGAGAGCTCAGAGGCTTAAGGTTTGGAGAGGAAGTGTGGACTGTCACTTCAGGGATGGTCCATGGAAGCTGACCAGTGACCAGCATAGCTTGCTAGAGATACACTCCACACATGGGCACTAGCAGAGCTCAGAAGCAGAAACGCAGTGTTTATACAGGACAGAACTACAGCAGGACCTGGGGAAACTTAACAAGAGCTTTGCGCCCTGCATAAAACAACAAGTGTGAGGTTTCTGAGCAAGGTGTGGTGGCACATGCCTTTCATCTCAACATTCCTGAGGCAGAGGCAGGAGGATCTCTGTGAGTTTGAGGACAACCTGGCTTACATAGCAAGCTCCAGGACTACTTAGAGAGATGCTGTTTCAAACCCTCACTTAACAAAAAAAAAAAAAAAA